CTTATTGCTATTTATACCTTAAATTTGCATATTGCTTTATAGCTTACAAAGAATTTTCATTAGCATTTTCTCTTTTGATCTCCACCTGAATCCTATAAAGTTGGTATAATTACAACCCTTTACTTTTGTTGCTAAAGGAAAACAAAGTTTTAAGTGAAATACTTATCCATGATTGCTTTGATAAAAAGTTACAATAAGAGAACTGGAACCTAGATCTTGTGTCTCTAAGCCAGTGCCTTTTCCACAGCATTCTTAGATGCAAAAGAACTGTGTAAATTCCAAATACATTGTCCAATCACTGAAATGTCTGGGGGTTCTTTTGTCCTTCCCTACCATATTTCTTACGATCCATTCCCCCCACTATACACACACAACCAGTGCATTTAAGGCCAAACTATTCCATATGTACCCATTTACTCAGAACTAAAGGTTTATATAATGAATACAGTATAAGATAATAAAGTATTAACTATGTAAATCTGCTATACATCATATTTTCTACAGCTATTTTAAGATGAGTTTTAAATAATCCTGTCCCATATTAAGAATATTTACAACCTCTTTCAAGCCGAAAAGCATTCCTTTTTTTTCCAGAAATCATATCCTAAAGCCTTAAACTTAAAAAAAAAAGTATTATGAATATTTTTCCTCCACTCTTTCTCAATCCCCATATTTCTTTCTTCCCCCACTCTTCGTTTACTTTATATCTTTAGATCTCCCTTTAACTCTTCTATAATAATGAACTGGAACACTTTTTTACTGTACTTAGAAATATGATTACTCAAGAGTTTGGTATTTTTTATTCTTAATTTTTAAAGTGGGTAAAAAGAATAATGTATATATTCTTTCCAAGATATAACAAAAACTTCTAATTTTTTTTTAAAAGGTGATTGGAATACTTTGTACCATGAACTGTTTCCTTTAATATTTTTAAATGTATCCATAAAAATTTTAAAGATATAGAATTAGAAAGGAATCCAACTATAATAAAATACAGCTCAATATAATAAAACCAGTTACATTCAAACACTGAATTACTGCAAGTCCATGGATGTAAACTCCAATTAAGAACCTCAATTTTAAAAACTTTCAAAAAACAAAAGTTGAAATAATAATGCTGAATAGCTAATGCTCTAACATCACAGCTTGCTCTATGACAATAAGCCTACAAAGTAAGTAGCATTGTCATCATGATATGTAGATAAGAGGCTTAAAGAAGCTAGGTAAGGTACCCAAGGTTACACAGCTTCCAACAGCAGAGCCGAGTCGTGAGCCTTTCTTCAAGGCCCAGATTCCTAACCATGTATGTATCCCTTCTCATTACCACCAGCGCCATTCATAATTCAGGACTTTTCTTAACTCATTACTAGCCACTATAATGGTTTCTCTGAGTCTTTTTCTATCCATTCCAACCTTCACTGACACTCCACTGCCCATGTGATTGAGTCTAGGTTCTTGAATCAGGAATTCAAGACCCTAATCAAGCCACCCTTCTCTTAACGAAAGAACCATAGAAAATATAAGGCCTACATTTAGCTATTAACACCAGCTATTCTCCTACCACTTCCATCCCTCACTAATGTCATTAGGTCTGACTGAAATGCCGTCTGCTGTCGATCATTGCCACCTACATAAATTCCACCCATCTTTCCAGGTAAAGGTCAAATAATACAATCTCAGCGAAGCCTTCCATCTCCAGCCAGAAGTGATCTTTTCTCTGTCTGCATACTTATAGTTCCATACTTATAGCAAGACAATAATTAAACATGTCCATAATATGTAATTATTCCTGCCACAGAATCTTTTTCAATTTCTCAAATATGTTATGCTCATCTCACCATTATACCTATGCTGGATTCACCACCTAGAACATTCTTTTCACTCCTTTTCCTTTGGCTAACTCTTACTTGTCCTTCAAGTCTCAGTTCAGAGGAAACTTCCCCTAGAAAGCCTTCCTTCACTGCCCCCACCTTAACCCTGGGCCAAGAGCCCACCTTGGACACCAACTCCTCACAGCCCAGACATAGCTAACGGGCTGTTTACTAGTCTGTCTCCCTTCTAGTCTCTAAATCTCATCATAGACTCCATTTACTTTGTTCATGGCTGTATTTCAACACCGAGCATAGTGCCTGGTGTGTAGCTGGAATATTTTTTAATGAATTTACAATTAACTTCTCCTTATTACACTGTCTGATTAATCCAGAGACAAATTTCAAAGTACAGGACTTTGCAATTGGTGATTCTAATTAAATAATTGTTGGATGAAATAATTTTTGCAGTAAATAGCCTAGATTAATTATCTTAAGTCCTCAGACAATATGGATTGAACTGCAAAACAGTATAAATATGAATACTTGATATGTCTTTAGAGTAAACAAGGATAATCATTTCAAATTCATTTGAATGTGTTAAAACTTATAACTGAATCAAACCTAGGTTTGCTTGAATTATTGCAAATCACTTTCTCATTGCTATTTGCAGCTACCTACATTCCTCAATTATTATTTATTGGTACTATAAAGCTCTACACACTCCAAATTACCTAGGCTCTTTACTATCTGTGTCCATTCTCAGTACTGTTTTAATGTACCAATTGCCACTCATAAGCTAACCCATTTTTGCCATTTTAAAGCCTTCACTCTCCCACCAAGCTTTTTCCTTCTTCCTACAATCTATAAAATTATCTCTTTTTTTAATTTAACTTTTTTTTATAAATTTATTTATTTTCAGCTGCATTGGGTCTTCGTTGCTACGCGCGGGCTTTCTCTAGTTGCGGCAAGTGGGGGCTACTCTTCCTTGCAGTGCACGGCCTTCTCATTGCAGTGGTGGAGCACGGGCTCTAGGCACGTGGGCTTCAGTATTTGCAGCACACGGGCTCAGTCGTTTTGGCTCGCGGGCTCTAGAACGCAGGCTCAGTAGTTGTGGCACACGGACTTAGTTGCTCCGCGGCATGCGGGATCTTCCTGGACTAGGACTCGAACCTAGTGTCCCCTGCATTGGCAGACCGATTCTTAACCACTGCGCCACCAGGGAAGTCCCTCCTTTTTTTAAATAATCAGAGTTCACTTCTTCCAAGAAGTCTGCCTTCACTAAAATCCTAGTTCAGGCTTAGCCTTAATTCACCTATTCATTCATCTATGAGCTCATTCATTGAGTACCTGTTTCATGGCAAACACTGTGCATAAAGTAGATTTTAAACGTTCATCAGCTAAACGGATTCATGTAACCACAAATACTCCCATCTCCCAAACAATCCAAGTACCAGTATTGTACAGATATACATCAAGGGTTATATGAATTTCAGGGAGGTGCTAAATATCTGATAAAGACCTGATAAGCCTCTTAGGATCATTCATAATTATTAATAAGACACCAGAAACAAGGTTAAAGAACTAAAGTGAAAACTCAGAAAAATATTTGGATTATATGAAAACCAAAGAATTCATCATCTCTTTAAAAAAACAGAAAAAAGAACATTCCAGTAGTAAAAGGTGCACAGGATAAACAGGCAATTCACAGAATACGTATAATATATTCTATTTCACTAAAGAATTGCAAATTAAAGTAATGATATTCCTTTTTATCTGTTTTGTACCTGTGAAAAAAAGTTCTCACCACCAAGGGCACACCTTGCTGTAAGAATATTAACTAGGATAGCTTTTCTAAAGAACAATCTGGCAAGTAAAAATAAGTAATATGCACGTTTTGACCCAGAGATTCTACTTCTATAACTATATCCCTAAGGAAACAAAAGGAGATGTATGTATAAGATGTATGTATACCCTTAGATGTAGATGTCGGTTAAAGAGCTTCATGGCAGAATTATTTATAGTAGTAAAAAAAAAAAAAACCCACAAATCCACTGATAAGGGATACATTAAATGTATCTAGTTATTTGGGATACTATGTAGCAGTTAAAAGAGACAAGGTAAAATTTTATATGTACATTATTACAAGAAAGAAAAACACTATAGAAGTATGAATATATTGAAACATTTCATATTAGAATCAACCCAGTGACATTATTACATGGATTACAGTGAATCTACTCTAGGTTATTTTTATATTACTCCCAAATGTGTCATGATTGCAGTTGAAAATTTCTGGACTAAATTATCCTAACAGGCCCCTCCAGCTCTAATATTCTTTCATTCTAAGAACCTTATACACATTTAACTTAGACAAAGTGTTATTACAAGACCCCAATCGGTCTTCCCTACATGTTTAAGTGCCCTTTATCTAAATGAAACGTGAAAATGTTAAAGTGTCCAGAATTTTAAATCTATGATGCAAAACCTGAGTTAACACTATCCTCTTGATTATCAATGACAATTTATGTTGCATACATACACTTATAGAAATCACAGATACAGTTGCCTCCTACCTCAATAATAACATAAAGACCATTATATTGATATTTTGAAAAAAAAATAAGAACGATAATAGAAGCCTTTGAACATTTAAAGAGATGAATAACAAGAAACATGGCTTATATGGTACACAATATAAAAATACTAACCGCAAATCAAACCCTATTAGAGGGCAATCAGAGACAGCAATGTGGCCCCTGTGTAGTGAGCAGGACTGGGATTTAGAGTCAGAAGACCTGGGGATGAAGACCACTCTTTTGGCTGCAGAATCCAAGCAAATCAAATAACCTATCTGAGCCTCAATTGCCTCATTTCTAAAATAAACAGAAGGATAATAAATGTATTATATACAACATGTAAAAGGTGCCTAATACAGGGCCTGAGACAAAAGAGGTTCTCAAATACTTGTCTAATAGAAGTAGGTGCATTATTATTGCTTTTATTAAGGTATCTAGTTTGTTCCCCTGGATTTTTGTAATACTGCATGTACAACCATCCTATTTAATTTTGATACTGCATGTTAGAAAGGGGTTTCTTGATCCTTAAAAGCCTATTTGTTGCCATATTCTTTTCCACTATAAATATGCAAAAATATGTTATCTCAGAAACTCAGGGAGGAAGCATACTTACAAAGCACACCCCCAAAACTCTATGTTGCTGTCCTCTGAGCTCAGTGCTCTTCTTAGGCACGTAAGTCTGCCTCCTATCATTTCTTCATGAGGTTCAGGGCAAAAGGCCTAGTCAAATGGATGACCTTGGTTGCCCCTACACTTTCCCCAAACCACCTACATATAAATGAAACAAGGAGTAAAACACACCCACCACCTTAATTTTTTTAAAAACAATTAAAGATAAAAATAAGCTCACCCTATGTACAGTTTGTGTACATAGCAGAGAATATATCACATCAAGTCAGAGAACAGAGAAAATGTTCCTTGGATCATGCAAATGCCCCACTGAAGTCACAGGAATTCTTCACACCCAAGTGCCCAGCCAGCATACTCCTCACTGGTGACTTCAGCCCATACCTGGTCATGCCTTGGGCTGGCTAGAGCATGTCGCAGTGTGCACTGTAGCCCAAGTCTAGCCAAAGGTACTATCCCTAAGCATGTCTCTCAGTGGGTAAACTAAGGCAGGTAACGAAATTAATATGTTACTTCTGAATTTAATGGCCCGACTGTATTTCCAAGCCAGTAAATGAATTACATGCTAGCACACCTAAAGGAAATATTTTATAAACTGCCCAGCTCTTCCTACATTTAGTATTGCAATTAAATAAGTAAAAGTAAAATGCCTTTGGTTTTAAGAGCTGTGGACAGAAATATTCTCAGTTCTTTGTGATGCCTTTCAAAGTAGTCTGTAAGAATCCACTGAAAATTATCCACAGAACTGCTGGTTGTCCACAGAAAAAAATAGATCTGGGAATACATCTATCAACCACTCCAAGAAAAAAGGTATTCTCTTAATCAAAACATACAGTCAAGAGAGAGTTCAAGTTGACCCAGAGGTCATGCAGTGGCAGAGAGGACACAGGTATGATGCATGCTTAACTATTTTAACAAAGCAACTACCTTCATTCTGTGAGTCATAGACACCCCCAAATTTCTCTGTGCCAACGTGAAACTACCAAAATTTTAATCTTCTATCTGTGCTGTCCAATACAAGTCACTAGCCATATGTGGCTAATGTGCTATAAATGTAAACTAGATGCAATACTTAGCATCATTTTTTTAAGTTTTTTAGGATGTAAAATATCTCAAGTTTCATACTGACTACAGGTGGAAATGAAAACATTTTGGATCTACTGTGCCAAACCAATTACTTAAAGAAATTTCACCAGCTCCTTTTTACTTGTTTAGTGTGTGTGAGTACTAGAAAATTTCACCTTGCAGTGTGGCTCACACTATGTTTCTATTAGCACAGCTCTGTATAGTTAATAAAAATAAATAACAAATACTGAGCACTCCCAATGGCCCAGGCCCTGTGTTAGATAGATACTTTACGTAATACTTGGCACAAGGCTACAAAGCGGTTTTACAAGATGTCCGCGGCTGTGACTGAGCTCCATCAAACCGACAAAGGATGCAGCTGGAATTCAATGTCAGGTGTTTCTATGAAATAACTCAAATAAGGGGCTGTTAAACAGCTGACACTGGGGCAACTCCCATGTTGGCATAGGAAAGACAAGTCATTGATACAGCGTTTCCAAGTGCAGCAAATTTTTGTGACTCTAAAACATGTACAAAACGTCCAGTTATATCCCAGGCCAGGCAAGTACACGCCAGAATGAGGCCAAACTCCTTGACAGCTCAAGCTTCACAGCTCCTAGCGGCAGGACAAGCTGCTCTCAAAAAGAGAACAACGAAGTTCAAACGCCCTGCATAACTTGACCAGGACCTGACTGTGGACACCCACGCCGAGGGAGGGGGGCGTCGGGGTGCCAGGCACGCCGTCTCCCCCACCTTTAGCACACACACCACCCATCCACGGCCCTACCCCAGATCTCCGGGCGGCTTTGGCGTCCCCACCCCTGGGACTAAGGGAAGCGGGACCTAAAACGTCTACGACAGTATAGGGAAGTGGTAAAGAAAGAGCGAGGGGACGGTTGGGCGCAGGTACCTGAGACAGAAGAGGGCCCCAGGTCCTTAATGCCGGATCATTGCCGAGGCCCCACCCGGCTCCCGCGGCCACCAGTGACCCAGAAGGTGTAACTGACTGGACGTAGCGACGCAACCGACTCTGCTCTCCCCAGACTCGCAGCTATGGCAACTTGAACTAGCCGCCCAGCCGCCGCAAGTGTACAGTGCCCCGCTGCTACCACTTGGTCCTCTGGGGGTTGTAGTCCGTCTCATGCTCAAAAGCAAGGAGTTACTAGGGGAGTGAGGCCCCAAAAGAAACTGCATTTCCCAGGATGCTATACGACTGGCCTTGGGGTGACTTTTCCGGAAGAAGCCGAATTAGCTGGCACCTGAGTCCCTCGGCCGCGCCCTCTTGCCCTGTTCTTTTTTTTTAAAGGGCCAGTAACTCCTATAAGCGACAAACACCAGATAATGAGTTGAGAGCTGCTTTAGCCCTGACTCTAGCATAATCAGAAGTGTCTAAAATATTTACTTTGTAAAAAATAACCAAAAAATCAAAGTAGCTGCAATACTAACACAAACTATGTTTCTTTAACTCCTTGGAGAACAGGGAAGCATAACTTCCAGCACTGAAATGCAAAAATTCCCTTAATACCAGGACCCAATGTCTTTTTCATTTCTTTTTCTTTTTTAATTTAATTTAATTTATTTATTTTTATACAGCTGGTTCCTATCAGTTATCTATTCTATACATATTAGTGTATATATGTGAATCCCAATGTCTTTTTCTAAAGGCTCACAAATTCTTAGAACTGGAAGGGAACAGGGAAGATTATCTAATAAAACCTTTTAGGCCTGGAAAGAGTAAATGACTCGCCTAAAACCACACAGTTCATTAATGGCAAACCCAAGGTATATGAGACTGTCACTTCATGGCTGCTTCTACCTCAGTCGTTCTAGAACATGAGAGAGACATATTCCACTCAGAGAAGCTGGTTTCAGTCATGAAAAGGTGATGATAAAAACCTCGACAAAAAATTGAACTTTGGAAAAGCTACGAAGACGGGAAAGTCAAATTAGTCAGCTGGAGCTTTGTTCCCTTCTGCTCTGCCAAAGAGACCATTGATTGTTTCCTCCTCAAGGCTAAAATCAAATTTCACTTTATCTGTGAAAGCTTTCCAGGCTACCTCAAGAAGAGCCAGATCACATTTTTAAACTATGCAGTTTCCTTATTCTAATAATCTGTACCATAATTATCCATTTCCCAGTTGGTCTCTTCCACTAAATTCTAAGCCCCTCCTGTGTTTACAGGATCTTAACCTATTAAAATTGTTATTTCTCTTCTTAGCCTTTCCTCACTTCACACTCTTCCTTCATATTTCTCCCTCTCTCTCCCTCTCTCTCTCTCTCTCTCTCTCTCTCTTTCTCTCTGTCTCTCTCTCTCTCCCCCACTCCCACCGGGGGAATGCATGCACACAAAATCATAAATAATATATATTGGAATTATTCAAATATTTTCTCTGGACAACACTGAGGTAAAGTTTATTTTATATTCAGCTTCAATATAAAATAAATCTTCTAAATATCTACCTATATACTTGCATCTATCTTCAAGCTATTTGCTCAAAGTTGTGTTCAAGAATGTGCTCCACCTGATACTGATTTAAGGTGATTCAGAACAGCCTTAAACTTGCTCCATATGCATGTGGAAGCATAATAATTACTCCATTTATTTGTTCACATTTTGATTTTTCAAAACAAATGTATCATTCATTTAATTCAGCAAATGTATGCTGAATCCTCCTATGATCCAGACATTGTATTAGGCACTGAAGGTGCAGTAAAATTGATGAAGTAAACAACATAGTCTCTGCCTTCATGTTAGAATCAAGTGAGGGAAATAGATTATTAAACAAATTATTACAAACCCAGGTGAGAGTACCACATGGGTTTCTATAGATAGACATAAAAAAACTTCCTGAGGAATTGATATCTGATTAACTGCAGGAAGAATGACTACCAAAAAAAGCTAATTTAATCTTGGTATGCATTAATAAAAGCTGATTTTTCCACAACCTCTATTCCCTGGTTCAACCACATTTAGAAAATTGGATTAAATTCTGGGGACCCCATTTTTAAAGTGATATTAACAACAAAAAAGCAAAATCAGATACAACTGGAACTGATGGATAGAGAATCAGATTTGAGTTCACTATGATGAAGAAATTTTAAAATACATTATTAAATTTATAGCAGCTTTCTGTCATATGGCGTGCTCTCAATACACAGATATGATATCCAGAAAAAGTACAGTGAAGTCAGATCATAGACTCTTTCTCCTTCTTAACAAAAGAGATAAAATAATAAAGCCAATTTAAAAAAAAAGATTTTACACAAAATGTGCCTGTAACTACCAAATGACCTTAATTGCTTTTAACTGATATGGCGGGCACACATTATCCAAACCCAAAACCACAGTCAAGATGAATCACCTGAATTTAGAGGTGGAAAAACCCACAAGGATTACCACCTGCAGTGCATAGTCTTTTTTCACAAACAATGTTAATAGAGGCACAGAGAGGTTACATGATGTATTTGGTTTGCTAGGACTGTCATAATAAAATACCACTGAATGGGTGGCTTAAACAACAGAAATTGATTTCTCACAATTCTGGAACCTGCAAGTCTAAGATCAAGATGTCAGCAGGTTCAGGTCCTCCTGAGGCCTCTTTCCTTGGCCTGAGATGGTTTTCCTCTCTGTGTGTCCTCATGTGGCCTTTTCCCTGTTTGGGCAGTTGCCTGGAGTCTCTCTTCTTATAAAGACACCATCACGTTAGATTAGGGCCCCACCCTTATGACCTCATTAAACCTTAATCACCTCCTTAAAGGCCCTATCTTCAAATATTGTAACATTGAGGGTTAGAGCTTCAACATATGGGATGGGGGAGCACAGTTCAGTGCATAACACATGATTTCCCCAAAATTGTACCTATTCAGGATTAGTGTCATCAGTGATCCTCCCACCACACAATACCCTGATAAAATTAGATGTGCTGGATATATTTTACATACCTCACCCACATTTCCCCTTTACTGGGAATGCTCCTACCCATAGCATTGGGCTCCTGAAGGTTTGTTTATATTATACAAAGCCCCTATCTCTCTGACCGTGGGTGGTTGGACAAGGGACAGATACCTGAAATAAT